AGAGCGCCGCGGACGGCGCGCGCGTCGCGCGCGGCGACGCGTCGCCGGCGTCGGCCTCGAGCGGCAGGAGCGCGACGCCGCCCGCGTCGCCGCCGCCGCCGCCGCCGTCGTCGTCGTCGTCGTCGAGGCCGCCGGCCGTCCAGGCCGCGAAGAGCTTCTGGGAGGCCGTCGGGTGGGGGCTCTCGACGTCCTCGCGCGCGAGGAAGCCGCTCGCGTTGTGGTCGAGGCGGTCGAACTGGGACGCGCAGGCCGCGACGTCGGCCGCGTCGATCCTCCCGAGCTTCACGAGCCTGTGTGGAATTCAAATCTTCAACCCGACTTCAATGTGAGCGTATGCGACATTTTCGACGCAATGTCTTCGAATGTGCTTCGAGAACTCGACGAGAGCAATCGATTCGTCCAAAACTCAGCCGAATCGACTTCGATTTGACCGAGCTAGAGAATTCTGAAGTTTGGTCAGGACCACCCAAACCAGTGGTTGGTTTCCACACAGTCACGAGCATGGCGAGCGCGAACGTCGCCTTCGTGCACTTGCCGTCGTCGGCGTCGACGTTCAGGGACCGGATGAGCTCGCCGCGCGTGAGCTCGAGGAACTCCTCGTGGCTCAGCGTGTCGCCGTACTGGCCCAGCACCCTGGCCTCCATCTCGAGCCGGTGCGCCTCTAAGGGCGCCGCGGCGATCGTCGACAGCGCGTGCACGCAGACGAGCGTCCCCCCGAGGCAGAAGACCGCCGCGAAGGCGCGGCCCGCCGCCGTCTCGGGCACGACGTCGCCGTAGCCCACGGTCGTCAGCGTCGCGCCGCTCCAGTAGAGCGCGTCGACCCAGTCCGCGTGTTCCAAAAACATGAACGTCCCCGCGCCGCCGACGGCCCACAAAAAGACCTGGAGCACGGCGAAACGCAGCCGCTCCCGCGGCGCGGCCCGCGCCCGGTCGACGCCCTCGGCCGCGGCGCGCTTCGCGTCCGCGGCGTCGAGCTTCGCCGTCGCGATCAAAACTTCGAACGCCGCGGCCGTCAGCGCGCCGACGACGCCGGCCCCGAGGAAGAAGAGGACGACGGCGAAGAGGCGCTCGCCCTTGGTCGCCGGGGCCAGGTCACCGTAGCCCACGGTCGTCAGCGTGACGACGGAGAAGTAGAGCGCCTCGCCGACGGTCCACCGCTCGAGCGCGCCGAAGAACGCGCACGACAGCAGCAGGCTCGCGGCGAGGAAGCCGCCGCCGCGCGCGACGGCCGCGCGCGCGTCGCCCGCCGCGTCGACCGTGACGCTCGTCTTCGGCGCGTGCACCGTGTGCGCGTGGCTCGTCGTGTCGTCCTCGACCTCGACGAGCAGGCTCCGCGCGCGCCGCAGCGGCGGCCGCGTCGTCGACAGCAGCGAGTCGCGCGGCCGCGCCAGCGCGTCGCTCGTCGCCGACCGGCTCCGCTGGAACGCGGGCCGCGGCCGCCGCTCCGGCGACGCCGGGGCCGCGCCGTCGCTCTGGCTCCGCTGGTAGAGCGACGACCGCTGGAGGCCGGGCCGCAGCGGCGTCGACTCGTCGCCGGGCTTGTTCCAGCCGCGGCTGAACGACACGCGCGGACCAGAGGCGCGCGCGGTGGCGTCGGCCATTGGCGGTTGGTTTTGTTTAGTGCGTTGTGCGCCTCGGCTTGCGGCAGCTCCCCATGCTCTCTCACAACGTTTCTGCCACAGGCGTACGCGACGCCTCCGAGAGCTCGGGGCGGCGCCAAGACCCGCTCGAGGCCGTTCCGACGCCGCCGTCTGTTCTATGTGTTTAAAAATCCCTCGCCGGGGCGCCGGCCGCCGCGGCCCCCGCGGCTCGCGCGCGCGGCGCCTACTCCCAGCCCGGCATCGAGATGCCCGCGGCCTTGGCCTTCTCGATGTCCTCGGCCGTCGGCTTCTCGAACTCGGGCTCGTAGGGGTTCGGGCCGAGGCCCTTGAACTGCTGCATGCAGAGCTTCTGCGCGCACTCCATGCAGACGGGCCCGCCGATGAGCTCCATGACGTACTTCGGCGTGTCGATCTTGCACTTGCACCTGCGGGTCGCGCGCGGGCTCGCCTCGACGCGCCCCTCGAAGCGTCGCGCGCGCGACGACGAACATGGCGCGGCGGCGCGCCCGATGACGACGCACTCCTCGCCGAGGAGCCGGTACTTCTGCGTCATCTTCTGCTCGAGCTCGCCGTAGGTCGCGAGCCGGCCCTTGCCGTTCCAGTTCTGGACGCAGTCGATCTTCGGCCCGCGGAGCGAGTCCTTGAACTCCTCGTCGAGCTCCGGCACCTCCCGCGGCGCCATGCCATGCTCGGAGATGTACTTCTGCCCCTCTGCGCGGGCGGGCGGCGCGGTCGGCCGCGCGTCTCACCCCGTTCTCTCGCGCGCGCGTCCGCCGCGCGCCCACGGCCGGTCCCCGCGCATTCGGACGCCGCCCGCGCACCGGTGTCGAGCGTGAGCGCAGACATGCTGCCGGTCGGAAAAGCTCACCTCAGCCTCTCGACGATCGAAACCTCAGCCGGGCAAACTTTAGCTTGTTAACCCGTGTTGAAGCGAGTTGATGGGGTGAAAGTCAGTATAGGAAGAATGCACCCTTACGAGTAAAACAGCACGTGGAGCAGCGTGAAGAAGTGCATGACGACGGCGATGAGCTTGTCCATGCGCGAGTTGAACGCGTAGGGCCGGTTCGCGGACACGGCGCGCCAGGCCGCCTCCGCCGTCCACTCGGGCGTCGACGCGAGCCCCCACTTGAGCGCGTCGGGCGTCACGGCCGCGTGGGCCTCGGCGAGGGCGCTCCGCGGCGCGTCGCGCGCGAGCGCCGTGGGCACGGACCCCGGGCACGCGGCGGTGACGTGGACGCCGCAGGCCTTGCCGACGCTGCCCTCGAGCAGGTTGCGCCGCAGCGCCGTCGAGAAGGCCGCGACGGCGCCCTTGACGGCGCCGTACATGTTGAACTTCGACTCCATCGACGACGTGAGGTGCGACGCGACGGACGCGACGTTGACGACGCCTGCGCGGGGAGCGGGCGGGCTCGTCGCGCGCGCGCGCGCGAGCGGCGACGCACGTCCGTATTCGTTGTCGATCATGTGGGGCAGGCACGCGTGGCAGAGCCGCAGGTAGGCCGTCAGCATCGCGTCGACGAAGCGCCGGTGCACGTCGAACGCGTTCGTGTTGAGGCAGTTCGCCTCGAGGTACGGATTGTAGCCGGCGTTGTTGATGAGGATGTCGACGCGGAAGCCGTGCGTGACTTCTTCCAGCGCCACGTACCAACCCCTTTCGTCTTCGCTGAAATCGCAGCAAACGCCCGTGACGTGCGGAGCGAGCGCTGTCATTGCCTTCTCTAGCTTCCGCCCGTCGCGGCCTGTAATTATGAGGCTGGCGCCCTTGGCGCGCAGCAGCTTCGCGAAGGCCAGGCCGATGCCGGAAGAGCCGCCCGTGACGAGCGCGACCTTACCGGCGAGCTCTTTGGCGGGCTCTGCGGGGGCTGCCATAGTCTCCTGATCCAGAGGTCAAAAGTGCATTGTTGTTGCAGTGCTCACGATGGCCCATCTCGGGCAGCGTCGATCGATGCGGCGCCGCTGGCAAAGAACTCGATGAAGCGCCACCGGCAAGGTGATCGATGAAGCGCCGCTGGCCGAGTCGGCAGCCCGCGCGGCCGCTACGCCGGAAGCAATGCGACCTCAGAGCAGCGATGGTGCTCCTCGCCGTCGGCGCCGTCGGCTGCTGCGCCTGGCTCTCGAAAAAGAGCAACACCGCGCCGTCGACCGTCGCCACCGCCGCGCCGCGGCGGACGAGCGCGGCGTGCAACTACGCCGGCGTCGTTCTCGCGGACGGCCGCTGCGACTGCGGCGCGCCGTGGACCGGAGCGAACTGCTCGTTCCTCGACGCGCTGCCGACGTTGCCCGAGGGCGCGGGCGGCTTCAGCCAGCGGGCCTCGTCGTCGTCGATCTGGGGCGCGAGCCCGATCCGCGACGACGACGGGCTCTACCACGTCTTCGCGTCGAAGATGGCCCTGGAATGCCCCGTCTTCGGCGCCGACGACCAGCAGTACTGGCTCACGAATAGCTACGTCGTACGCGGCGAGGCGTCGAGGCCCGAGGGCCCCTACGAGGAGAAGGAGGTCGTCCTGGGCGACCGCGGCCCGGCGCGCTGGGACGGCCGCCAGCAGCACAATCCCACGATCCGCCGCGCGTCCGACGGCGCCTACCTGCTCTTCTACACGGGCACGACGTTCGAGGGACCGAGGCCCTCCTGCGTCGGCGGCGCGCGCCCGTCGCTCGCCGACGCGCGGCCGCTCGCGGAGCGCGCGCGGTCGCGGCAGCAGATCGGCGTCGCCGTCGCGCCGCACCCGCGCGGCCCCTGGACGCGCCCCGACTGGCCGAGCCTCCGCACGGCGGACGCGGCGCCGGACGGCTTCGACGGCCGCTTCAACACGAACCCGTCGCCCCTGGTCCTCGGGAACGACTCCGTGCTGCTCGTCTACAAGGGCGTGCGCCGGGCCAAGCCGTTCCGCATGCGCTTCGGCGTGGCGTTCGCGCCGCACTACGCGTCGCCCGCGTACGCGCGCCTCGCGACGGGCCGCCCGCTCTTCTCCGACCTCTGCGGCGGCGCGGGCTGCGACATCGAGGACGCGTTCGCGTGGCGCGACGGCGCCGTCTTCCACATGCTCTTCAAGGACCAGACGGGCGCTTTCGCCGGCGAGGCCGACGGCGGCGCGCGCGCGACGTCGCACGACGCGCTCGCCTGGGCGCTCGCGGGCAAGGCCTACTCGCGGTCGACGCGGCTCGGCGGCCGGGCCGTCGACCTCACGTTCCGCGAGCGGTCGCAGCTCCTCTTCGACGCGTCGGGCCGACCGACGCACCTCTTCAACGCGGTCCTCGAGGGCGCCAAGGGCGAGCACACGTGGAACGCGGTCACGCCACTTCGCGGTTATGGGAGCCCAGCGAGGTAGCATGGTCGCCGTACAGTGGACCCCCTGGATAGCGACGTTAGGACGCTAAGAAACTGCCCTCACTTCCTCTAGCTTTGACGCTTACTTCTCGGAGCAGATCGGGGGCTGGTAGGAGCGGGGCTTGGCGCCGAAGGCGGCCTTGGCGCAGCGGGCGAAGTAGCAGAAGTCCTTGAACGTGATGCGCTCCTTGAGCTCGAAGCCGCGCGCGACCTGGAGGAACTTGCGGAGGGACTTGTCCGGGCAGTCGCGGCCGTCGTAGAGGTCGCGCGCGAGGTCGCGGACCTCGGCCTTGCTCAGCACGCCGTCCTTGTCCGCGTCGTGGCGGTCGAAGCACGCGCGGAGCGAGCCGACGTCGCCCGCGAGCGTCGCCAGGTGCTCCATGAACGACGGCCGCTGCTTCACGCCCGCCTTTTCCAGCGACCACGCCCGAAACCCCGCCGGGTTCCGCGCCCCAAAGGGGTAGAGCACGGGCCGCGGCCGCCGGCCGTCGATGGCGTGCAGCAGCGGCGTGAAGATGCGCCAGGCCTCGACCAGCTCCGGCGCGGACACGAAGAGCGACGAGTCGCCCTTCGCCGCGTTGAGGAACATGCGCTCGTACGCGTCGGCGAGGTACGCGCGCTCGAACTCGCTCGAGTAGCGCATGTCCATGCACGTCGGCACGCACTCGTGCGTGAGGCCCGGCTTCTTCGTGTGCGTCTTCAGGTAGAGCGCCTCGTCGGGCTGGATGCGGCAGACGAGCTCGTTCCGCGCGGACTTGCTGTCGACGAGGAGCGCGTTGTAGGGCTGGGCCTTGTAGCGCACGCGCACCTCCGCGAGGCGCTCGTCGAGGCCCTTGCCCGCCTTCATGAGGAAGGGCACGCCGCGCCAGCGGTCGTTGTCGACGCGGAGCACGACGGCCGCGAACGTCGGCGTCACCGAGTCGTCGGGCACGCCCGGGTCATCGAGGTAGCCCGCCTCCTCGAAGAACGCGTCCTCCGTGAACTGGCCGAGGAACGCGTCCCTGACGTCGAGCACGGCGACCTTCTCGAGCAGCGCGACCTTGGCGGCCTGGACGTCCGCGGGCGCCTTGGACGCCGGCGGCTCCATCGCGCAGAGCACGAAGACCTGGAGCAGGTGGTTCTGCATGATGTCGCGGATGATGCCGAAGCCGTCGAAGTAGCCGCCGCGGCCCATGGTGCCGATGTCCTCCTTGAACGTGATCTCCACGGACTCGACGCTTTCCGCGTTCCACGTGGGCTCGAAGAGCTGGTTCGCGAAGCGCAGGCTGAACAGATTCAGCACGACCTCCTTGCCCAGGTAGTGGTCGATGCGGAAGAGCTCGCTCTCGTCGAAGCAGCCGCTCGTCTGCGCGTCCAGCTCCGCGAAGGACGCCGCGTCGCGGCCGAAGGGCTTCTCGATGATGAGCCGCGTGTAGCCGCAGGGCGCGCGGCAGTGCGCGGACACGAGCTGCGCGACGGCGCCGAAGACCGTCGGCGGCACGCTGAGGAAGAAGAGGCGGTCGCAGGGCGCCTCGCCCTCGATGGCCTCGAGGTGCGCCGCGAGCTTCTCGAAGCCCGCGGCCTTGTCGTAGCCGCCGCCGCCGACGAAGCTCAGGCGCGCCTCGAAGTCGGCGAACGGCAGCCGCGGGTCGCGCTTCACGTTCGCGCACTGCTTCGCCACGAAGGGGCCGAGGTCGACGTCGCGGCGGCCGAAGCCGACGACGTTGATGTCCTTCCGCGGCAGCTGCCCCAAAAGCATGAGCTGGTAGAGCGCCGGGTAGAGCTTCTTCTTCGCGAGGTCGCCCGTCGCGCCGAAGATGACGACGCTGATCGGCCGCTTCGCCGCGTCGCCGCCGAGGTTCAGGCCGCGCAGGCGGTTGGCCGCCGGCGTGAGCGTCTTCGCCAGGGACGTGCCGCCGGGCGACGCCGCGGGCGGCGGCGGCGGCGACAGCATGGGCTTCGGCGTCGGCGGCGCCCCCGGAGGCGGGGACAGGGCGCCCGACGACATGTTCCGCAGCGGCAGTCGAGGTTGAGAAGGAGTTTGAGAAGGCGGCCTTCTCAACTAAAAAAGTGGTGCATCTTTGAAAGGTGAAGCCTCGTTGAGCAGGTTGTGTCCGCACCGGCGTCCCGCCCCGCCCCCAGCCGCCTCCCACGCCACCGACCTCAATCTTACTGCCCGATGCCGTCGTAGGCCGTGCAGCCGAGGGCGTTCTCGATGGTGTCGTCGGCGCCCTGCTGGATGAGGTACTCCGCGAGCGTGCCCTCGGAGTCGTAGGCCATCGCGAAGTGGAGGGGCGTGTTGCCCTGCGCGTTGCGGTGGTTGATGTCGGCGTTGCGCGCGAGGAGCATCTCGCAGATCTTCTGGTTGAGGTTCTGGGACGCGAGCGACAGGAGCGTGTTGCCCTTCTCGTCCTCCTTGTCGATGGGGAAGCCCATGTTGAGCGACTCCTCGAGGCGCTTCACGCGCGCGTTGCGGCACTGCGAGAAGACGACGTCCGTCGAGGGGATGGCGACGCCGTCGCGCTCCGCCGCCGCCGCCTCCTCGCGCAACACCAGGGCCTTCTTGACGACGTCGCCCTCGCTCAGGGGCTTGAGCTTGTCCCGGCCGAGGATCACCTTCCGCACGTGGAGCTTGTGCTCCATGCCCAGCACCTGGATGAGGTCCTCCTCCCGCAGCTCCAATAAAAAGTCGCCGTCCACCGACGCCTCGCGGAACGCGGCCTTGTACTGGCCCAGCGACAGCGTGTCGAGCCAGCGCGCGACGTCCGCGACGGACCAGAGCCGCATCTCGGACGGGAACGGCTCCGCCTTGGACCGCTTCGCCTCCTCCTCGGCGAGCTTCGCCGCGTCGAGCTCCGCCTGCTTCTTCTTGATCGTCCCGAGCATGACGTCCTCCGCGCCGAGCTTCATGTGCTTGATCGACGGCACGTTCGCCGCCGTCGCCGCCGCGGCCGCGGCGGCCGCGGCGTCCGCGGACGACGCGACGGCGGCCGTCGTCGTGTCCGCGTTCATCTCCCGGAGCTGCTGGAGCATGTTCAGCGACGAAAAGTAGGACAGGGACATGGACATGAACTGGAACTTCATGAGCTCCTCGGTCTGGTTGAACATCGTCGCGGCGCGCTGCTCGTGCTCCTTGGCCCGGAGCGCCGTCGCCGTCGCCGCCGCCGCCGACGTCGCCGTCGCCGTTTCCAATTCGATGCCCTTCTCCCGCAGGGCGTCGAGCTCGTACTTCTGCTCCTGGAGCAGCTCCATGAGGTTCCTTTGCAACCGGGAAAACTCGCGGTCCTTGCGGACGCGCGTCGCGTCCATGTCCGCGATGGCGACCTCCAAGCGCTCCAGGGCGTGCTTCTTGCGGCTCACCTCCTGGAAGACGGCGGCGAACTCCGCTTCTAATTCTTGCCGCTTCCGCTCGCGCTCCGCGCGCTTCCGGTGGATCGCGATCTCGAGCGCGTGCGAGTCCGCCTGCAGCTTCCGCTGGGCGACGCTGCCGCCGCCGCCGCCGCCGCCGGGCGCCGGGTCGAGCGCCGCCGCGAGCTGGTCCTCCTGGCCGTCGGGCAGCAGCGTGAGCACGTCGGGCGCGGGCGCGCCGTCCGCGGGCGCGTCGCCCGTCGACGGCAGGCCCGCCGCGCCGCCGATGCGCAGCTGGAGCACCTCGCGCTCGTGCGTGAGCTCGCGCAGGTCGCGCTCGATCTGGTCGATCTCCTGGAGCTCGCGCTCGAGCACGCTCAGCTCCTTCTCCGACTCGCGGAGCTCCGCGTGGATGTGCGACACGCGCGACTCCGCCTTCTCCTGGGACCGGTGCAGCGCGTCGATCTCCTCCTGCTGGCGCTCGAAGGCGACCTTCGATTCCTCGATCAACCGCAGGCCCAGCCGCAGCCGCTCGGGCCCGGGCTCCGCGTTCTCCCAGTCGCGGCGCCGCGACGTCCGCCGCCGGCCGAGGTGGCCCCGGTAGACGCGCTCGATCTCGAGCGCCGCGACCATGTGGACGCGCAATAACTGGAACTCCTCGCGCGTGACCTTCATGCGCCAGGCCGCCTGGAGCCGCGTCGCGCTCTCCGCCCTCAAGCGGAGGTGCTCGAGCCGCGCGCGCTCGCGCCGCGCGACGAGCCGGCCGCGGTAGCCCCGGAAGACGCGCTGGATGAGCCAGCTCGCGTTGCGCATGCGCGCCTCCCGCGCGATGGCCCGGCCGAAATTGCCGCGCACCGTGCGCTGGATGTGCGTCGCGGAGGCGCCGAGCACGAGGTTCCGCGTCTCGAGCTCGTGGAAGAGGCGCACGAAGCGCCTCCCGAGCGCGCCGCGGATCGCGCGCTGGATGCGGAGCGCGGCCTTGGCCTCGAGCACCGTGCGCTCCATGCGCGTCTTGATCTCGTCGGCGTGCTGGCGCCCGATGACGCCCCGGACCATGTTCTGGATCTTCGACGCCATCTCGTGGAAGATGCCCACCATCTCCGACGCGGCCATGTCGCGGAGCCGCGCCTCGCGCTCGAGCTGCGCCGCGGACATCTCGCGCTTGATGTCCGTGTCGGGGGCCCCGGCCGCCGGCGGCGGGCGCTCGACGCGCCGCGCGCCGTCCGCGGCGGGCGCCGCGGCGCGCGGCGGCGCGAGCTCGACGCGCCGCGCGCCGTCCGCGGCGGGCGCCGCGGCCCGCGGCGGCGGGAGCTCGACGCGCTGCACGTCGTCCGCGGCGGGCGCCGCGAACCGCGGCGACGGCCGGCCGCCGTCGCGCAGGGTCCGCACGGCGCGCGCCTGGCTGCCCACGGCGGGCCGCGCGCTCGGCCGCTCGACAGCGTCCATGACGGCGTCGACGCTCTCGAGGAAGGCGTCGACCTCGTAGCGCGCGGGCACCGACGGCTCGGTGCCCCACGCCCCGCTGCTCCCCTGGTCCGCCATGGCCCAACGACGCTGCCCGGGGCCGAGCCCAGACTACCGACGACCGCCGCGTTGATAAACTGATTTGTTGAGGTAAACCAAAGGAAGGTGCATCGCGAAGGCGAGGCCAAGTCATGGTGAGCCTCCGGCTATAGAGCAAGTCCACAGCTCCGCTTCGGCTGCGTCGACCTCAGTGACTCGCCATGGGCGTGCAGGGCCTCTGGAAGCTTTTGGCGCCCTGCGGGCGGCGCATCTCCGTGGAGACGCTCGAGCACACGACGCTGGCCATCGACGTGTCCATCTGGCTGACGCAGTTCGTCAAGGCCATGCGCGACGACGAGGGGCGGCCCATCCGCAACGCGCACCTCATCGGCACGCTGCGGCGCGTCGCGAAGCTGCTCTACCACGGCGTGCGGCCCGTCTTCGTCTTCGACGGCGGCGTGCCCGTCGTGAAGGCGCGATTGATCCGCCAGCGGCAGATGCGGCGCGAGAAGAACCGGGACGACGTCGCGACGACGGCGAAGCGGCTCCTCGCGGCGCAGCTCAAGGCCCAGGCGCTGCGCCTGCGGAAGCGGCGCCGCGACGGCGACGACGCGGGCGACGCGCCCGCGGGCGCCGCGCCCGCCGCGGAACCGCGCGGCGGCGCCGCGTTCGCGGGCGGCTTCGACCCCGGCGCGCAGTCGTCGGCGCGGGCGCCGGCGCCCGTAGACGACGCGGACTCGGACGACGACGTCGCCTGGGAGTCCGACGACGGGTCCGGCGACGCGCCCGCGCCCGCGCCGTTCGACGCGCCCGTCGCGGGCGTCGCGGCCGACGGCGACGCGTCGTCCTTCGACGTCGACGGCCTCATGGCGCTGCCGCCGGCGCAGCGCAAGGAGGCCGTCGAGCGCGTCAACCGCCGCCAGCGCGTCGCCGCGCGCCACGCGTTCATGCCGGTGGCGGGCGACGCCGCCGCGTACTCGTCGACGCAGCTCTCGTCGTTCCTCAAGGGCGCCAAGTTCCGCCAGCGCGTCGAGGCGGCGCACAAGGCCCGCGAGCGCCGCGGCGAGGGCGCCGGCGACGCCCAAACCTACCTCCTCCGCGACGACGACGTCGACGCGGACGGCCGCGCGCGCGGCGGCGCCAAGGCCCGCATGGAGCGCTTCCTCCGCGCGAACGGCGCGGACGCCGACGAGGAGGACGACGAGGACGACGACGATGACGACGACGCGCGCGCGCCCCCCGCGGCGGCGCCGCGGCGCCGCCCGCCGCCGCGCGCGCGGCCGACGATCCACAACGTCGTCCAGCTCCCGGGCCAGAGCATCGACGAGGCCCTCGAGGAGGCGGAGCTCCGCTACATCGAGGATCACCCGGAGGAGTTCCAGGACGACGCGCGCGAGGAGCCGGCGGCGCCCGCCGTCGTCGACCTCTCGCGGGACGACGACGGCGATTTCGCGGAGGGCGGTGGCGGAGGTTTCGCGGACGACGACGACGGCGGCGGTTTCGCGGAGGAGGACGACGGCGGCGGTTTCGCGGAGGAGGACGGCGGTTTCATGAAAGACGACGAGTCCGGCGGCTTCGTGAAAGACGACGACGAGGAGTCCGGCGGCTTTGTCAAAGACGGCGGCGGCTTCGTGAAGGACGACGACGAGGAGTCCGGCGGTTTCGTGAAAGACGACGGTTTCGCGGAGGAGGACGACGGCGGCGGTTTCGTGAAAGACGACGACGAGGAGTCCGGCGGCTTCGTGAAGGACGACGAGGACGGCGGCGGCTTCGTCAAGGAGGAAGCGCAGGAGGGGAGCGACGACGACTGCGACTGGGAGGGCGGCGGCGAGGCGGCCGGCGGCGGCGAGGCGTCGGCCGGCGAGGAGTCGGCCGGCGAGGACGGCGCCTGCGACTGGGAGGGCGGCGGCGAGGCGTCGGCCGGCGGAGACGGCGTCGTGCTCTCGGGCGTCGACGCGGCGGCGGTCGAGGCGCGGCTGGCCGCGATGGCCGGGGGCCCGGCGCCGGCGGACGACGACGACGACGGCGACGACGGCGACGACGACTTCTTCGACGCGCCGGCGGCCGCGGCGGCCGCCGCGGAGGAGCCCGAGGAGGACCGGAATCGCGCGGCCATCGCGGCGGCGATGCAGACGGCGGACAAGATGGCGGACTGGGCCGGCCGCGCGTTCCGGCGCGCGCTCGCGGAGGCGGGCACGGCGCTGCCCGCGGCGCCCGCGCCCGCGGACGACGAGCCTCCCGCGGCGCCCGCGGAGGGCGAGCCTCCCGCGGCGCCCGCGGAGGCCGAGCCTCCTGCGGCGGCGCCCGCGGACGCGGCGCCGCGCGACGAGGAGGCCGCGTCCGACGACGAGCGGGAGGCGCCCGCGTCGGAGGCGTCGGAGGACGCGGCGGCCGGGGACGGCGCCGAGTGGGCGCGGCACCGGCGCGCGGCCGAGGCCGGCGGCTTCTACGACGTCTGCCCCGACTTCGACGCGCAGCTGCGCTACGCGCTGGAGCGCGCGTCGGACGGGGACCTCGAGGCCATGGCCGACGCGGCGGCGGCCGCGTCCGACGACCGCGAGCGCGCCGTGCTCGCCTACGTCGTCGCGGCCGCGCGCGCGCGGCTCCCCGCGCCGCCGGCGGCGGCGGCGGCGGGCTGGGTCGACGGCGACGACGACGTCGCGCTCGCGGCCGCGGAGCGCGAGGCCGCGAGCCTCCGGCGCGAGATGAGCAGGAGCTCGCGCGACGCGGACTCGGTCACGGAGGACATGCGCGAGGACACGATGCACCTGCTCCGCCTCCTCGGCGTGCCCTACGTCGTCGCGCCGATGGAGGCCGAGGCGCAGTGCGCGGCGCTCGAGGCCGCGGGGCTCTGCGAGGGCGTCGTCACCGACGACTCCGACGCGTTCTGCTTCGGCGCGCGGCGCGTCTACAAGAACATCTTCGACGACCGGAAATACGTCGAGGCCTACTACGCCTCCGACTGCGCGCGGGACCTGCGGCTGGGCCGCGACGAGTTCTGCGCGCTGGCGCTGCTGCTGGGCGGCGACTACGACAACGGCGTCGCCGGGGTGGGCGTCGTCAACGCCATGGAGGTGCTCCAGGCCTTCCACTTCGTCGAAGACGGCGAGCCGCGCGACGTCGCCGCGAGTTTGACGCGGTTCAAGGCCTGGCTCGACGGCGGCGACGGCTGGGCCGACGACGGCGCCGTGCGCGCCTTCGCGGCGAAGCACCGGAGCGCGCGGGCGCGCTGGGAGACGCCGCCGACGTTCCCGAACGCGAACGCGCTCCGGGCCTACCTCCGGCCCCAGGTCCACGACGTCGACGCCGTCCGCCGCCAGCTCGGCGGCGACGACGACGGCGACGACGACCGGTCGCCCTTCAAATGGGGGTCGCCCGACGCGGCGAGCCTGCGCGCGCTCTGCGAGACGCGCCTCGGCTGGTCCGACGCGGCGACGGACGCCGCGCTGGGACCCATGCTCGAGCGGCTTCAGGCGCGGTCCGGCGGGCTCCGGGCGACGCGCATGGACGCCTACTACGAGACCTACCACTCGAACAAGACCTTCGCGACCGTGACGTCGACGCGCCTCCGGGCCGCGCTCGCGCCCGCGCCGGCCGCGGCCGCGCCCCGGCGGAAGCGCGGCGCCGCCGGCCGCGGCGCCGGCGCCGCGACGAAGCGGCGGCGCAAGGACCCGGGCGCGCCCAAGGGCCGGCGCTCGGCCTACATCTTCTTCGGCAACGCGAAGCGCGCCGAGGTCAAGGAGCTCCACCCGGACTTCTCCCTCGGCGACGTCGGCCGCGAGCTCGGCGCGCGCTGGAAGGCGCTCTCCGACGACGACAAGAAGCCCTACGCGGCCCTCGCGACCGCGGACGCGGAGCGCTACGACCGCGAGATGGCGGCCTACAAGGCCACGCGACCGGCCGCGGGCGCCGCCGAGGAGGAGGACGAGGACGAGGAGGGGGCCGCGGCGGCGGAGCCGCGCGCGCCGGCGAGGCGCGCCGCGGCCGCGGCCGCGAGGCCCCTCCTCGCCGAGGAGCCGGGCGGCCCGGACGACTCGGAGTCGGAGGATTTAAGTTAGGAGGCCAACTATCGCGGGCCGCGGCGGTTCCCCGGCGACCTCCAATTTCGCGAACAGGTCGAGGAGCTCGTGAGGGTCGTCCGCGCGATCCGCGCCGAGGAGCCAGTCCGACAGCGCGGCCTTGCCCCGCGCCGCCCAGTCGTCCGACTCGGTCGCGCACGCCACGAGCACGCGGTTGACGTCGTCGGGCGTCGCCCGCAGAACGCGGACGTTTCCGAAGACGGTTTTCACGTGCGCGCAGGTCTCCGCGTAGTCCTCGCGGCGCCGCGCGACGACGTTGACGACGAAGACGCCGCCGTCCCGGAGGTGGCGCCGCGCCTTCTCGAGGTAGTCGACGGCGACGAAGGCCTTGGGCGGGCAGCACATGCCGAGCGACGCGTCCTTGGCGTCGACGTCGACGGCGACGACGTCGAATCGGTCGCCGTCGCCGAGGCCCTCGAAGACGTCGAGGCCGTCACCGACCTCGACCGTCGTGCGCGCGTCGCGGTCGCCGTGCCGGAAGCCGAACCACTCGGCCGCGACGTCGACGATCGCGCCGTCGAGCTCGCGGACGGCGACGGCCGCCGCCGGCCGGTAGCGCCGCAGCGCCGACGCGAGCGCGCCGCCGCCCAGGCCCACGAGCAGGACGTCGTCGACGCGCGCCGCGCAGCCGCAGGCGGCGAGCATGGCCGCGTGGTACGCGGACCGGAGGTCGTCGCCGTCGACGCGGCGCGCGCCGTCGTCGCGCGGCGCCCGGGGCGCCTTCTTCTTGCCCTTGCCCTTGGCGGCCTTCTTCTTCGCCGGCGGCAGGAGCGCGACCTCGGTCTGGACGACGCGGTCGTTGGACGCGAAGACGAGGCGCCGCACGCGCGCGGCGCCCTCGTCGACCTCCTCGACGTAGTACGTGTCGCCGGACGCCGTCGGCCCGGAGGCGACGACGGTCCGCGACCCGAGGTCGCCGCCGGCGGTCACGAAGGCGATGCTGCCGGCGCAGCCCGGCGGCGCGAGGTCGACGACGGCGCCCTCGAGCTCCTTCTGCACGGACTTGAGATCGCCGAACGCGTGGCCGCCGCGCGACAGGAGCGACACCGCGAGGAGCCGGCCGCACTTGGCGCTCGCCGCGACCTGCGCGAGGCCGTCGTCGCTGCCGAAGACGTACTCGTGCTCGCGGCCCTGGGGCACGATGAAGCAGCTGCAGGTCGCCTCCTGAGAGACGTCGACGATGCGCACGTGGAAGCGCGGGCCGCGGTCGCGGTCCCCGCCGAAGACGTGCACGCTCTCCGCGCGCCCGACGACGAGCGGCGCGTGCTTCTCGTGCGTCTCGAACGCGGCCATCGTGCACAACGAGGCTCTTACCACAGGCCGCACATCGTTTTTGCTTAAGCTTCGCCGAATCACGACAAGTTGCCGCCTCCATGCAGTTGCGGAAGCCCCCTCTTGAGGACCCAGGAAAGAAGAAGAGAACTTAGAACACGTCGCCGCCGCTGTCGTGGAGCGCGAGCACGCGCGCCGCGCGGCGGCGCTCCGACGCCTCGCGCTCGAGGCGCTGGCGCCGGAGCTCCGCGAACGCGTCCCGGTCTTGGTCCTTGCGCTTGCGCTTCTTCGCCTTCTTCTCCTTCTTCTCCTTCCTCCGCCGCCGCCGTCGCCTGTCGTCGCTCGAGTCGGAGTCGGACGACGACGGCGCGGCGGGCGGCGGCGGCAGCGCGGGCGGCGCGGCGGCGTCCGCGCCGCGGCGGGGGATGGCGACGAGCCCGCGCATGGGGTCCGCCGCCCGCCGCCGCGCGTCGTCGCGGTCCTGGCGCGTCGTGCCGTCCCGGGCCTTGCGGTCGCCGAGCCGCGGCGCGCCCGGCGCCTCCGCGCCCGCGTCGACGGCCGAGGGGTCCGGCGCGCCCGCGTACCAGGGCCCCTCCGGCGCCTTGAGCGCGACGGGCGCGGCGAAGAAGCCCAGCTTCCGCTTCTCCCGCGCGTCCTTGGCCTCGTCC